CTCTACGTGGTCAACCAATGGCTGGACACGGATACGTTTTTGGTCGTTGCCAAAGAGCCCCGCGTCCATCGCCTGGCGATGCTCTTCCAATGAGTTTTTACGTAAAAACACAAACAAAACGTTTTTGACAAATACAACTTTATTGTTGACCTAATTCTTGGCTAAAAATCACCCTGGGCGTTTAACCGAGGATGTCCCCAACATGTAACTTTTGTGAAAACAGGGGGGTGGGCGCTTGCCCAGGGAGGGGCGCGTGCCCGGGGTAATACGGTATTTATAGGTATAAATGATCCAAAAATTATTCTTGAATTGCGCCCTCCCATATCTGGGTGAGAGAGCGGGGATCAATAATGGTTTCCTATTCTATCACTTTTATTTACTTTAAGCAAAATGAAACAGCACGATACCAGCACTGGCTGCAAAGTGTTTTTTAGAATTTATAAATATGTAACGTGATTTTCCGTCACGTCTTCTAAACACAAAAACTAAACAAAAAAATAATGAATAAAAATAAATAAATAAATAATAAACATATCCCAGGAGTAACCAAATTACTGGCACGATATCGTATTGTAAAATAGTGGCGGTCAATTTGAGAAATGAATACTCAATATTGTCATTATAACCTATTCAGAATGAACGTGAATAATATATTTACTAACGTGATCTGGGAATGTGTGGCCCACAGTTTGCTCAAATTCAGTGTGATTTGTAATGCCACGTTCCGCGTATTACTGAATACTGTTTATTGGTCGCTGGTAGAAATGTTCGCTGTTTCAAACTTTGAGATTTGTTTTGGCGGGGGGGGGGGGGAGTAAAACGTTGATTTAACTTAATATTTGCAGCAACCAAACGTGAGATATCTTTTTTCTTGTTGTTATGCCAGTTATGCGCCAAAGAGACAGTCTGTTAAGAGAACATAACATTTCTCAAGACAGGAAAACAATAGAAAGTTATTAATTAATATTTTAAACAATAATGATATAACATTATACATGATATTGTATAACATATTCTGAATTATTTTACGAGCCTACCCAACTTGAAGTGTAACTATCTGTGCAGCTGTCCGCCATTAATAATTATATTCTTGAATAGAATTCGCAAATTGACTTCCTGAGTTCGCCGTTTATTATTATTATTATTATTATTATTATTATTATTATTATTATTATTATTATTATTATTATTATTATGGTTTGGTATAGCAGCCAGCTTTTCTGTGTACGGTTGTACAGTGGTTACAAGTAGCTTTAATGTGACTAACGGTGTCCGCCAGGGAAGTATACTGTCACCAAAATTATTTGCGTTGTATGTATACG